CGCAGTTCATGGCCTCAATCGAGAGTACCGCGACGTTTTTCCATCGTCGTTCTCATACGCCGGCATCCCACCGATGCGCGACGTCGAGCATTCCATCTAGCTCGTGCCTGACTATCGTGTTCACCACCAGACACCCTACAGACTCTCGATCCCCGAGGCCACCGAACTCAAGCGTCAGCTTGAGGAGCTCCTGAGACTGGGTTTCATTAAACCCAGCAACTCCCCGTGGGCTGCACCCGTCCCCTTTGCTCGCAAAGCGGATGGAACTCTCCGTCTGTGCATCGACTATTGCGGTCTCAACCGCTACACGGTCAAGAACAGCTACCCCATGCCTCGTTCCGATGAGCTGTTCGAACGCCTAGCAGGCAACCGCTTCTTTACGAAGATTGATCTTCGTAGCGGTTACCATCAGATTCGCGTCGCTGCTGCCGACCAGCCAAAGACCGCGTTCTGATCGCGATTCGGCCACCACCAGTTCACGGTGATGCCATTCGGCCTCACTAATGCTCCCGCTACCTTTCAGAGGGCGATGAACGACATCTTCAGGGACATCCTGGAGCAGTACGTTCTCGTCTACCTCGACGATATCGTGGTCTACAGTCGTACCCTTGAGGAGCACCTCAGACACCTCCGCGACGTCCTTGACCGCTTGTGCAGACATGGCTTCTACGCCAAGCTGAGCAAGTGCCGCTTTGCCCAGCGCAAAGTGGATTTCTTAGGACACTACGTGTCTGACCAGGGTCTCCACATGGACGACGTGAAGATCACTGCTATTGCGGAGTGGCCCGCTCCCACATCCGCCAAGCAGCTTCGCAGCTTCCTAGGCCTGACCAGCTACTACAGTAACTTCATCCGGGGCTACGCTAGGTATTCCTACGTCCTTACCTCCACCCTCCTCCGGAAGAACCCACCCTGAGCTTGGACACCCCTCCACGAGGACGCCTTCCACGCCCTCAAGAAGGCGGTGACATGCGCACCGGTTCTTCACCTACCCGATTTTGACCGCCCTTTTATCCTTACCACCGATGCGTCAGACTTCGCTGTAGGAGCAGTGCTTTCTCAGGTCTTCCCCTCCTCTCCTGATTCCTCTCATCCTCGTATCCCTCGCTTTCCACCACCCACCCCTACCACTGCTTCCCGACTGATGCCTACTCGTCCAGCTACTGACGAGCCTTCTATTGACTATTCTCCTACGAGCGTCGAGGACGGCACTGTCGAGTCTCGCTCAGGTGATTGTCTGATAGCCTTCTACTCTCGTCAGCTTCTGCCCGCCGAGATAAACTACACTGCTGATGAACGTGAGGTTCTCGCAGTAGTTTATGCCGCTCGGCACTGGCATCACTACCTGCACGGGGCACCATTCACGGTGCACACGGACAACTCTGTTGTCCAGGCTTTTCTGACAAAGCCGAAGCTCAATCCTCGACTAGGTCGCGCTAGGCTCGCTAGTGGCGCGACCTATCATAGTTTAGTTTCACCACTGAGCACATCAAGGGTGAGACTAATCGGGTCGCAGATGCCTTATCCCGGCGCCCTGACCACGACCAGGAGCAGATCCAGCTCTCTTCCATCTCGGTCACCACCGTCCACCACTCGGTAATCGACGAGTTTCGCACTCAGTACCGCCACTGCCCCGACTATCGCGATATCCACGCGACCCTTCGGGGTGGCAAGACCGTCCCGAACTACTCTCTCGGGGACAACGGTCTTGTATACTGACACGGTTCACAGGGCACCAGAGAGCCCCGTATTTGCGTTCCCTCCACTGGACAGCTACGTGTCCGAGCAGTAGCAGAGTTTCATGACCAGGCAGTTGCCGGTCATATGGGCTTCCACAAGACGTTGGCTCGTGTGAGCCGCCTGTACGTCTGGCCGAAGCGCAAGGACTTTGTGAAGGACTACGTCGCAGAGTGTCCCACCTGTCAGGAGGTGAATAGTGCGAACCACCGGCCTTATGGTTTGCTCCGGCCTCTTCCTATCCCTGAGGGTCGTTGGCAGTCCATCTCGATGGACTTTATCGGTCCTCTTCGACCTCCGACCTCCCGCGGTCATGATGCTATCCTGGTCGTCGTCGACCGCTTCACGAAGCGTGCACACTTTGTTCCGTGCCGCTATGCCATCAGTGCACGTGAGGTCGCCGACATCGTGTTTGACCGAGTCGTGCATGACCACGGCTTACATCTGAGCATCATACCAGACCGTGACCCGCGCTTTACCAGCCGATTTTGGCGACGGCTCCACGAGGTATACGACACTTAGCTCCGCTTCTCCTCGTCTTACCATCCTCAGACTGATGGTCAGACCGAGATCACGAACAGGACTCTCGGAGATGTTCTTCGCAAGATTGTTCGTGACGACCAACAGTGGGATCTTCATCTTGCCCACGCGGAGATAGCGTACAACCACGCCGTCTCGCCAGCCACGGGGATGTCGCATTACTATTGCGACCTCGGCTATCACCCTCGTATTCCCGCGGACTTCCTTCGACCGTCCCAGCTGCACCCCGACACGAGTTGTCCCGCGCTGAACGATTGGGTTGCATACATGACGTCGATCATGAAGACCGCAGATGAGCACATAGCCGCTTCCCAGACTCGCATGGCAGCACGTGCGAACCGATCGAGGATGGATTATCCATTCAAAGTCGGTGATGATGTGCTTATCGACGCCCGCCACTTACAGCTCGAAGCGGACACGCTTCGCAAGTTTCGGCGTCGCTTCTTTGGCCCATGCCGCATCCTCCAGGCCGTCAGTTCTGATACGGCATCTAGCCCGGTCAGCTTCCGTGTGAAGCTGCCCGACTACCTACGCCAGGCTCGTGTGCACGATGTCTACCACGTCTCGTTACTGCGTCCTTACCGCAGATCGCCTGAGCGTTTCGCCGGATGACCATACGAGCGCCCTCCACCCATCATGGTGGACGGTCACGAGGAGTTCCTCGTTTCATACATCATTGGTCGCCGAGTCACCGACGACAACCCTCCCCACGTCGAGTATCTGTACGTTGGAAGGGTTACCCTGATGAGGAGGCTACGTGGGAGCCCCTCGAGCACTTGCAGCACGCTCGCATGTTGGTGTGTGCCTATGACCGTGCTCGTCGTGCTGGGTTCACTGCTCCTCCTCAGCCCACTGACCCTCCTCCTTCTCCTCCGGCTGAGGAGACCGCTGAAGTCGAGCCTGCTCCATCTGAGGCAGACCTTCAACAGCAGTCGGATGCTTCTGAGCGTCCACAGCGCACTCGTCGTCGTCCTGCTCGATACGACGATTGACTCTGACTTACCTTCCCACGTCTTTGACTTCTCAGTACTCCATCCACATCAATTTTGCTACTTCAACTCGTCGACGCTGCGACTCTTCCTCGACGGCATTCCGGACTTCTCATCTTTGATGTCATCGGCAGCTTCATGGACTTCATCACGATCAACTCTGCCTACTTCAGACGTCGCCACTCTCTTACCACTCTACCCTGTACAGTACCCTGCTTGTGTCGCATGATGGTCTCCCTTTAGCCAGGTTCCTCTGAGTTGGGCTCTCCCTTGGTATACGCATAGGCATCGGGACCGTAGCGTTGCCCTGGCTTCCCATCTTACGGATCTAGCTCCGACTKCCCTCACTTTAGKAGTCATTTGCATGATWCCCTTACCCATCATCTTTCTACCCTTCGCCGGCCCTTACGCCCTAGTTAGGCAGCCCCGCATGCTTCATCTAGGTGCGCCCAGTATACCAGGCTCCCTTATTCCCATGGTCGACCCTCTATAGCGGTCACCCCTTAGTCGAGCATTACCCGCCCTGATAGTCTATCTGTTAGGGTCATTGGTTCGTTCGCTCTCAATTCCCTACCCTCATTGAGCCTGATGACATGTGTCTCCCTGTTATCTATGTTTGGATGCCCTTAGGAGTTTTCAACCCCTAGGCTGCATTCGCCACCCTCAGAGACCATCCCACCCTTTGGTTTGCGAGACACTTCTCATGTGACATATGATTGACTTGTTGTTGCTTTGTTGCTCTCAGACTGAGGCTACTGCCTTTGACATTTATAGGATTTAGTTGTTCTGCTTTTGCTGTTCTTAGGATTTATACACTAGTTAGTTGTTACCAGACCGAGGCTAGTGCCTCCAACATTCTAGGATCTGGTTGTCACTACTTTCTGCTTTCCTAGGACATGTATGCTAGCTAGTTGCTTTTGCTTTCCTAGGACATGTATGTTAGTTAGTTGCTTCTGCTTTCGCTTAGGCTGTTAGCTGTGACATTGCCGTTTTGTGACATTTTATATCCTAGGTTGCATCGCATGGACTCAGCATGGAGCTTGCTTCGCGTCCTAGATTACTCAGGTTTTCTTTTCTTTGGTAGAGTTCCGCTTCTTGGCGGAAGCATGTTTGTCTCTAGGCGATCCATCACAGGTCGAGGATCGTGTAACCGACCTCGGGTTGGCCTGTGTGACCAGCCCCTTGGCCTGTTCTCACAAGCCTGTGTTGTATTCGGGGTAGGCCAGTCCAGGCCGGTACCTCTGTCGGTACCAGCCAGTCCAATCCAGTCCCGTCAGTCCGCTGGGGTATACCCCAGCCATTGTCTGTTTTCAGTCTCATTCTTGACTGGCACATTTTGGAGTATGTGCGTTGGAGTCTTGCGTCGGGAGCTGTGTGCCGTCTGACATCTTGGAGGCGAGCCATCCGAAATGCAGTGTGAGGTCACCCACTGCATCTGTTGTGTCCCCTGGTAGGCCGTGGTTGTTTCTGCGGACTAACATCTTGGAGGCGAGCCATCCTAAATGCAGTGTGAGGTCACCCACTGCATCTGTTATTTCTGTGGGCGTAGCCTGCGCCGCGGGCATTTAGCTAGTTGAACTGACCCACCCCAGGTAATCTGATTATCTGGATTCGAACTTGGGCCCGCAATTCAATAGTTCATGGTTGTACCAACTGAGCTAAGGCCCTTCGGTGTTCCCGATGTTTTTTGACACCGTCTATCTAATGATGAATCTCGGCGTTTCGCGGGAATTTGACTCTCCCGCCAACCGTCGCGCCAAAAATCTCGCTGACAGTCTTAGGAGTCGGCGATCCCGACCGAGGCTCCTGGAAATTGCCGCGTAGGCAACGTAATAATATACATATATGTATGTACATATATGTGAAGCGGCTGAGAACGCTCGGCGCTTTCGGCCGTCGATCAACTAATGACACGTGGTCGCTGACGTGGCAAAGAGTAGTATCGCGACTGACTGGTAAGTAGCAATTTACCTCGTACTCCATCTGTTAGGGCGTATCATGATTGCACCGCTTGCCATCGGCCAACATTTTGAAGGCATTCGGACAACGTGTCTGTCCATATGCATTGGAAATCTTGGCGGATGGCGAGTGGTGTCCGCCATGCCGTCGCCTCCTCCCTACCCTCTTCCCCTTCGTCCTCCTCTTATCGGCCAACATTTTGAATGCATTTGGACACTCACTCTGTGCATATGCATTCGAAATCTTGGCCGATGGCGAGTTGTGCAACTATGCCCTTGTCCGCTATGCCGCGTCCTTCTGCTTTCCTCTTCCTCAACCTATTTGGCCAACATTTGAATGCATCTGGTCACCGTCTGTGTCCACGTGCATTCTAAATCTTGTCGGATGGCGAGTGCTGCTGCATCTATGCCCTTGTCCGCAATGCCTCCACCTTCTCCTTGCCCTCTTCCCCCTCCTCCTCCTCCTCCTCCTCTTTCTCCCATCTCTTTTCTTTTCTTTCCCCCTCCTGAGGGTGAATAGTAGGGGGTTGATGATAGGATGGAGAAGAGGTTGGCCTCATGATATCAATAGCGTTACTGCTATCATGAGGGCAATAGCGCTATGGTAGGAATTTCCTTCCATTGTATTTAATAGGATGGTGAATAGTTAAAAAAAAAAAAAAAAAAAAAAAAAAAAAATGGTGAATAGTAGCGAAACATGTTTTGCTACTATTCTTCATCCTTCAAAAAAAAAACGATAGAATAGTAAAAAAAAAAAAAAAAGGGGTTCCCCCCCTTAATGATCAGTGCGCGACTCTCGAGCTCATGTACGGATCTTTAAGGGGGGGGACCTCCTTTTTTTTTTTTTTTTTTTTTTTTTCCAAACAGCAGGCAGTCTCCATCATGCAGGGGATACGAGCCCGTGCGTGATGGAGAAACGGCTCTGTAGGGCCAGATCCCACTGGCAAAGAGGCTTGGAATGAGTGTCTGAATCTGGACTTCTTTGTGGCGAGGTGCAGAAAACTGCGATTGATCTGCTTTTCTGCATCTCTCCGTGGAACACGTCCAGATTCCGACACTTATTCCAATCGTCCTTGCCAGTGGGATCTGGCCCTTATTCTAGTAACCAACTTCTCGAATTGTTGCTACCTAATCTTTTTTTTTGCTTTTTGTTTTTTTTTCGTTTGTTTTTTCTTTTTTTCTTTTTTGTTCTTTTTTTTTCTTTTTTTGTTTTTTGTTCTTTTTTT